AGAGTAAGCAGAACAAGTACATTATTATTATTATGTAATAATAATAATAATAATAAGTTTAATATAGTAGAATACTACTTATTAAATAATATATTATATTTAAGGACAAATTAATTATAAAAATAATGTGTTGTTTAAAACACGTTTTAAATGTCAATCAAACGTTAACAAGTGCATAAACCTGTAAATTCTGTAAGTTATTCTTAATGAACGTTTAAATAAATAGTCATTAATTGTTTGTGATTACCTACTATTGAAATTCAAAACACTAAGTGATCAATCTTTATTATGTTGCGGATGGTTTCAATACACATTTCATTATGATCTTTAGTATATTTTGAATATGGTTAGCAACATTTCGTCTTCATTGAAACTTGCTAGCTGGATGTATCTGGATCCTAAGTTTGATATTTACATTAGGATTCGAAATCAATACTTTTCGCTTCAAACAATAATGCACTATCCACTGAGATAACATTTCTACATTTGGTGAATAAGATATTGACTATTTAGAATCAGTAGCTTAGTGGATATCAACACATTGGACGTCTGAAGCCAAAGATATCAAATTATTTTCTAAAATAGAACCTAGTGGATTTTAATCTCATTGGTTAAAGTATAGCTGTGTTCAACCACGAGATCTCAACACCTTAAACTTCATGGTTCACACCGATGAAGTGAGATTACGGACAGAATGTAACATATGAACAGTGTTATAGTCACGTTTTCAATTATTAATGTTCACTTTAATAGTTGGATTCATGAGTCAATTGAAGCTAGACCACTGTGGAAAACCTGGAAGCATTGGACGACCACTTCGTCCTATTGTAGGACGCCTCACCAGTGTACATTCACGATCCCGCCTCGCGAAATTCGCACTCAGGATTTATCAATCTCGCGTGCGAATGCTGACTCTATAGACCACTGAACTGGCCGGCATTCAACGGTGTCAGTGTCTAACTTCAACCAATCCATGAAATTGATTCATGATCTCAACTATTAAATTACTATAATATCCATAAAACCCCTCTTTGATTATCATTGTTTAGCTGATATTTATGATGAAAATAATGTACATGGTTAATAAAGAACAATATTAGTTTTTATAAATCAAGTTAGATAATTGATTACAACACTCTAGTTATGCAACAAACCAATTCTATGCACAGTTGATAACAATGAAGAAAATAACAGATATGGAGAAAGTTATCAGTTGTTATCGGTGAGACATACTATTAACGAATGATGGTACAAATATTAGCTACATATTCTCTAATAAGCAGATGATTGACTATGACAGTTTGTCCTTCAATTGTCTGAATTGTGGATTCGAAATCCTCTTCACTTGATCAATATTAACAGGTGTCAAAAATAGTGGTTCAGTAAGACAACGAGCTTTGTAACTATTGAGTTAAATAATTATTCCACTGTGTCCATAATCGTTGTAAAGAGTAATGAATGAAGTTTTCTTTAGAAATAATTGAAATATTTATGAACTAACAACTATACTACTAATTAAGGCAGCCTTAATAAATAAATGATGAAAAGTTACTGGTTTGAATCTTCCTGACTTGACAACCAGTTTTATTGTAGCTTTCACCATTAACACCATTTATCTATTTTATAAAATAAACACATTAATCTGAACAGCCCAACTAATCTGATCAACATCGATCAATGGTTTAGTCGATACAGGTCTCATGCTTAAAGGTATGACAAATACTGGTAAAGATGGTGCGGAAATTGACGACATTAAGAATCTTTACCAAATGAAATAGTTGGAAGATGTATTACATATGAACAATCACCAACTAGTTTGAAGAGCAATATTCACTGATGTAAGAGTAGGTTAGAAAACGTTTAACGTCATTTCAATAAAAATGTGGGATCAGTTCTATTAAGCCATTGATCTTAAAACGGAGTCATATGGGTTGATGTAGACTACTTAGGTCGAGGAATAAATTCATTCTTTGTGAATTATATTATTTATGTTTATTATTGTCCCTTTAACGTTAATCTTAACACTGTTTCTACTAATTTCGTAATTATCTTGATCATTTCATCTTACTTTGTTGATATGATGTGTAAACTTGGACCAATACAGATGTGTCATGGTATCAGGTTATAAGTTATTTATGAAAGATAAGCAGCTGAATATATGTTGTAGCTGACTGACCAACTGACTGACTGAATATACAGAAGCTAAGAACTTAACTTACAATCAATACACATCTAATTATGAAATAATAAAAAAGAAGAAGGAATCATCTTATAGTAAAAAAAACAATAGCTATTCACTCCGACCCCTAATTGCAACAAAACATTTTCCAATTAAATAATTGTTTGATTCAGTATTTTGAGTAGAAAAGCGACAACAAAAACGATTAATAATATAAAAACTAAGATCCAAGTACATCCAGCTGGAAAGTCGCGGTGAGGACGAAATGTTCCTAACCATATTCGAAGGTTTTACCCTATCGAAAATGTATTGTTCACATCAGTAAGAAGTTATAAATATGGAAAGAAACGTTATTTAGTTTATTTAATACTACGGAATCTTCAAATCGTAGTTAAACAGTTTTAAGTTAATTGTTTTCCAGTTTTACACATGGAAAATAAAACCGAATAAGATTAGTATCTTTTTATCTGTTAAGTACTTCGAATGCGTTGCTTACATTCACTCCACATATATTACCCACAGGTTGTCTGGCATTTGGACTTATGAAGAACTTACTGTGTTTCAACCATCAGTTCTTAAGGACGTGTTCAGAGAACATAGTAGAGGTCTTTCTCTTTATCCTTCCTATATATTTGCTACCATAGGTATATATGAGTTCATAGATGTACTTGGAGGTGACATTGGAAGCGTTTTGGTTCATCCTTAAATGGTATAATGAAAACTGGGTGTTGTATATTGAAGCCAATTGACCATAAAAGAAGCTTCTTTTCAATGTCATCTCGATGCTCTCAATGATTCTTCTTGAAAACAGGTTTCTCTTAACAACAATTGGTTGTTTATCACGCTTAAAATGTTGTTTTCTATAATTCACAATAAATTTTTACAGATATCCAATTTTTATGAAGTCTTTTTCTACTATAGATAGTTCCTCATTTATTGTATCATTTGAGTATAACCTTGTAGTTCTATTGGAGTGGGTTTGATTAGACACCTTTTGTAACTGATAAGAGAAAGACTGTTAGTTTAAATACTATCCATGTGAAATGCCCTTACATGGCCACGCGTATATAGACTCTGCCACGGAAGTCCTACTCACTGCCTTCTCGTGGCGGGGTGTTGTGTACGAAAATGAGAGGATGAAAAGCGAATGTCCGGCGCTTTAACCGGATCAAAAACCAAATCAATGCTGCATATTGGCTCTACTGCCATGTGGACCAGACCTTTTAGTCGAAGGCTCCGGGTGTGACCCCCTAAGAAAACCACGTGCTTCGGTTTAGGCACTCGGGTAGTATCACAGCCCTCACACATATCGAATGAGATTTGTGTGGCGCATATGTATTTGGTGCCTCCTTGTACCAATATCTGTGTTAAAATAAATAAATAAACTATTCTGTTCATGTTTCTTTTCACAATCTTTTCATCGTTTTTTTTTATTGATTTTCTTTTTAATAAAATTTTTTATGAATCAAGTCTCAATTGTAAGACACTACAACTATGATAATATTTCCCAATATTTATGACATAAAAATAAAACGAATATTTACATAAAAATGACATACATCACTACAAAATTGGATAAGGCAGGAGGAAAGAAATTAGGCCAACGGGGGTTGGGGGTTGGATAAGCATAATAGGATATGAATGAGGTTTTTAGCATGAAACATTTAAATCTTGTTGGTATATAGTGAATAAAATCTTGAAAGTTATTACTAAGTAACACGAAAGGAATTCATTGACAATTGAATAATCAATTGTACAAACAAACAAACAAATAGAGTGACCATGGGATTACCATTAGAATCTATCTTGGCCGATATCTTCATAGTTAATCTAAAAAAAAGCATGAAACTAAAACACGAAATCCATGACAAAATATAATAACTCCACATACGTCGATGATACATTCATTATCTATGGTGACATGGATCACGCCTCTAGGCTGTTTATTCACTTCAACAAGTCTCATCCAAAAATAATGTGTACAATCGAATACGAAAGAGATAATCAATCAGATATTTTAGATTTTCGTGTAAAATGCAAAAACGATGGAAAGATTGTGAAAAGAAACATGAACAGGATAGTATTTAAACTAACAGCCTTTCTCTTATCAGTTACAAAAGGTGTCTAATCAAACCCACTCCAATAGAACTACAAGGTTATACTCAAATGATACAATAAATGAGGAACTATCTATAGTAGGAAAAGACTTCATAAAAATTGGATATCTGTAGAAATTTATTGTGAATTATAGAAAACAACATTCTGAGCATGATAAACAACCAATTGTTGTTAAGAGAAACCTATCTCATAAGCAAATAAATTTTCCGAAAAACAGAAAACCGTACTTAGTCATACTAATCATCACTACATAATATGTAAGTCATGAATCGAAATAAGATTGAAACATGATGCTGGTAAGATAATCTGGTATTTATGAGAACGAACACAGTAAACCAGTTCAGTTTATTTTTTTTACCTATTACTAAGATGCTTGACCTTTTTAAGGTTCGAAATATATCCATCCCCAGTTCATGAGGTCACTGGGTAACACATCGGGCAGTTATCAATAACATGCAACTTGATACAAATGAGAATCCATCTAATTTTCTTCATTCGCACACTGAGAGAAAATTAATAACATTCAGAGCTCATGAAGCAAGTATTCCCAGGGTTTTTTTTAACTAAAAGACAAGATAATTTATTTGTTTATCTAATTTTATTTTGTCCCCCATACATACGCAAATAATGAATAACACTTATGAAGCATAATTAGGAAATCAATATAAGGATATAACAATAATACTAACAGTAAATTACTTACAATTTTTATTACATTTACATCAATGCACACACCAAGAAGCTGAACAATATCTGGATGATCTAGTCTATGCATAATTGATATTTCATTCAAAAAATCACATGTTTCCTCTTCATTCATTTGTTTAATATCCATAATTTTGATAGCAACTTGTAAACCACGTCTTGTATCTGTATGCCAAACACCCTATGGATAGATTCATTATAATATAAAAAAGATATTATGAAATATAATACAATAAAAAAGATATGCTTTAAAAGGGGATATTGTGACCAGTTATCAAGTATAGCCTACTAATGTTATCGTGTTTATAATTAGGTGAATCCATGTATATTTATCAGTCGAGATCCGAATCGCTTACCAGTAACAAGGGTTTGAATCCTTCAGGAAACATCGATTCCCTCAAGACTGCAATTACCCCCGGCAAACATGTGCTAAGTTTGTGTGACACTTGGGTTGAGCAAAATTTCCTAACGATTACATCCGGCTATCTAACAATCCATATATACATTGAACAAAACAGATTAATGTAATAAACAGAGAAATAAATTAAAACAACTTGAGTACCGAAACTAACAGATCTCAGTCTAAGTTATCATACCGTCACCATCATGATAATATCAACAACAAAAAACGAAAACTGAAATGGGTGATATGAAAAAAGTAGATAGAACACATGAAGATAAAAAAGGAAGACGGATAAAATGATACGATGTTTAAAATTGAAAGAAATTGAAAGGGGAAAAAGAATGTGTCATTGTAACTAATTATTGAGCTATTCTTCTTTAAAAACATTAACAATTGATTATGATTACGTGTACGTGCCAATGCAGATCAAATTTAAGGTACACTTATATCAACATAAAACAGCAAAGGAAAATAGATATCCAAGACAGGACAAGAACAAAAATATGCATCAATCAACTCAATCGATGAGGTGGTACCAAGTTTATCTAGTACCTTATATTGAACTTTAATATTCACTATTTGACAAACTTATTATAATCTAATGACATTTAGAGAAACAAAACTGAATTATAGTGTTTTTATATGACTAGCAGTGACATTCAAGATGCATAGTTCATTGTATCAAGTACTCGTTGCCTGGATTTACTTTGGTTTCAGTATTGATACTCATACTAAGACATGAGCCTAATATTATTCGCCTCAAACACTAAACAGTTGTCTACTGAGCTATTGAGTCTAAATAGCATATAAGAGAACAAAAACCCTGAGACCAAAATCAAAGTCTTTCTTTTTTATTCAAAAGTTTATATCAATTAGAGAACCAGTTAGAAATTAATCGACACTAGGTAGTTGTTGTTGTACCCTACTTCTCAACACAACATTCACAACTCATAATCTAACAATTAGTTATAGTTTTAGAACTTTAAGTTTTGTGACAAGAATGATTAAATTAGTATTTAATTAAATGCTACTTTATGATGAAACCCTGTACATTATTTTCATCATAAATATCAGCTAAACAATAATAATCAGAGAGGAGTTTTATGGATATTATAGTAATTTAATAGTTCAGATCATGAATCAATTTCATGGATTGGTTGAAGTTAGACACTGACACCGTTGAATGCCGGCCAGTTCAGTGGTCTATAGAGTCAGCATTCGCACGCGAGATTGATAAATCCTGAGTGCGAATTTCGCGAGGCGGGATCGTGAATGTACACTGGTGAGGCGTCCTACAATAGGACGAAGTGGCCTTCCAATGCTTCCAGGTTTTCAATAATGGTCTAACATTAATCGATTCATGATCTCAATCAAAAACTTAATAATCTCCACAACCGCTATACTGATAAATTGATATTTAATTGAATGTTACTTTATAATGAAAACTTCCCTGTTCCTCAAATAAAATGAGAATAATGAAATAAGCAATGTAATTTATTCGTCTATCTAATAAATCAATAATTAATTTAATTATTATTTATGAATAATAATAATAATAATAATAATAATAATAATAATAATAATAATTACACATTCATTGAACTAATTAACCCATAAATCAATAAATAAATAAACGAAAAATATCAATATGAATGATAAACATAAAAAGTTAGTTGCGAAGAGGCATTTTTTTCAAAACAAAAAAAGGAAAATGTCGATATGGAAGAGAGTGAAACATTTCCCGATTTTTGTAATCAATAAAAAAATATAAACAGTTATGACTATTATTATTATTTCTTATCCAAAAAAAACATCGGAATACTAAAACATAATAGATTTATACCCCAAAAACAAATGTACAAAACATAAATTATATACAATTTAGGGGTTGTGGAGATTGTTAAGTTTTTGATTGAGATCACGAATCGATTAATGTTAGACCACCATTGAAAACCTGGAAGCACTGGACGGCCGTTTCGTCCTATTGTGAGTCTTTTCAGCAGTGCGCATCCACGATCCCGCTCACAGGATTCAAACCCAGGGCCTTCAAATTCGCGAGCGAACGCTTCACCTAACATCAATCGGTTCATGACCTCAATCAAAAACTTAACATTCTTCACAACCTCTAAACTGATAGTTATCATGTGCTCACTAGTGACTAGCTCCGTCAGAAAATTCTCAGAGTCCTGGTGAGAAGCCGTGATCAGTCGAGCTAATCCGTGTCGGGTAGAAACAGGTATCTACCTCAGTACAATGGAAGATGGTCGCGCAACTTCGTTCATGATCTCAATCAAAAAATAAATTATATACATTCAGTTGGTGTTGTTTTAATTGTATCTTCCTATAGTTATTTAGGACTGCAATTGATCAGTCTCGTATTAGCATATGTGCATTCTGTGTGAATTGCTTCGCTATAGCCTTATTATTTATTTATTTATTTATTTTAACACATAAATATTGGTACAAGAGAGCGCCAATATATATGCGCCACACAAAACAATGTAACTTCGAAGAGATAGAAAAAAAAAAACCAAGGAGCACAAAAGAGAACGATAACGAAGAGATTGGTGTAATTTAGTGTGGTCGTAACAGTGGAACGGAAAAGTACAATCAGAAGAAATCTTTCAAGTAAGGGAGACACAACCACTTTTTATGAAGAAAGTAAAAGAAGGTTACAGCAGGATCGCCACTGGCTTCTATTCTGAGCCATATCTGATAACGTCTCTAGCCACTGTGTAGCACTATCTCTCAGACCCCAACCAGGGAGTCGTGAAGGACCAACACAAGCCAGTCCTTTGCAGCTTTCTTTCATACCACGACACCATGTCATATACTGACCACCTCTCCGCTTTTTCCAACCAGTCCCAGAGTCGGCAAATAATGCACGACGTGGAATTCTCTGGGACGACATTCGTAGAACACGTCCAAGCCACCGAAGTCGGTGTTTCAAGATGGTGACAAAAATTGAATTATCATCTCTGTGCCCAAACACATGATGCCGAACCTCTGCATTACTGACATGGTGTTGCCACTGAATATCAGCAATCCTTCGGAGACAGCGATGATCGAACACAGAGAGTCGTCTAACGTCCTCAACTCGGAGAGGCCAGGTTTCACAACCATAGAGCAAAACTGCTCTCACCGACGCGTTGTAGATCCGACCTCTTACAGCCAGACTAACATCACGAAGGCGCCAAAGATGGCTCAGATTGGCATAAGCCACTCTGGCTTTCACTATACGTGCATTGATCTCATCACTCACACCCCCACCAGCACTTATGCAGCTATACAGATACACGAACTTCTCGACTACGTCTATCTGCTCACCATCCAGGGTGAGTACAGGATTGGAATCCCTCCAGTCTTGTAGAAGTAACTTGCACTTCGAAGGTGCAAAACACATACCATACCTACGGACACTGATTGCCAACTGATTAAGTGCGGATTGCATGCCTTGGGCATTATCGCACAGTAAGACAATATCATCCGCATACTCAAGGTCGAGAAGTCTTTCTCCAGGCAACAGATCCACACCACCATTACTTACATTCATCAGAGCTGTTTCCAGAATGTCATCGATGGCAAAGTTGAAGAGGAATGGTGAGATTGGGCAACCTTGCCTAACCCCACTACTCGTATAGAACAATGGAGAGAGGTGGTTGTATGCCCTCACTCTGCCTGAGGTGTTTGTATATAGGGCTTTTAGGATGTTAATAAACTTCTCAGGCACACCCTTCTTCAATAGACAATCCCAGAGAACAGTCCTGTCCAACGAATCGAAGGCAGCCCTGATGTCAAGAAACACTACGATTGTTGGCCTTTGATAAGTATGGCGATGTTCTAACATTTGGCGGAGGGTGAAGATATGATCAATACATCCTCGACCAGAACGAAACCCAGCCTGCTCCTCGCGAGTCAATCTTTCCCGAGTTTTGAACAACCTACGAAGTATGACGGAATCCAATAGCTTGGACGCAATCGGAAGTAGACTTATCCCCCGATAGTTGTTACAGGAACGACGTGAACCCTTTTTAAAGATAGGGACAACTATCGACTCATTCCATGACGTTGGTACACACTCTAGTTCCCAAACCTTTGTAAACAACGTCGTCAATTCCTTAGTCAAAAAGTCACCACCATCTTTAAAAAGAGCCGGAGGTAGGTCATCTGGGCCAGGTGATTTGTAACGCTTCAAGAGTTGGAGTTCCTTGTGGACTTCCTCCTCGTTTGGTGGATCAGTCGTCACCGGCCATGGAGGGCAGGACAGTCTGACCGATGTTGCCGGAGCAGCAGGCCAGTTGAACTGCCCTTCGAAAAATTCTGCCCATCGTCCAAGACGTCGATGGATGTTAGTGATTGGCATCCCATCATCCTCGCAGATTGTTTCACTCACACCAGACTTCTTGCTGCCAGTGGCTCGGATGAGCTGGAAGAGCTTCCGGTAGTTACCAGATGCAGCTGCTGCTTCCAGCTCATTAGCACGCTCCGACCACCAGGCTTCTCGGTCCTTACGCAAGCTTTGCCCAATTTCCCTACGTAACATCCTTCGTTTATGGTCAAACTCACGGTCACCTGGAGTAGACCGACGGGCTTCAATGAGTTGTAAGGAACCAGAAGAAACCCAGTGCTTAAAAGCTGGACGTTTTGCAAACCCACAACTGACTGTTCCCGCCATTTTCATGGCGTCAAGCAATTGCAACCAATGCTCATCTATACTTTTCGGTGGAGTGGTAGCTAGCCTAGAGGCTAACTCGGTTCGATACTTATTTGCAACAGAA